TGAATGGATTTTATAATACAAATAGCAATGTGTAACATTTTACCATATTTAGTGCAAAACTTTTATTTGTTCCCCACAAAATATTGTTTTTTCACTAAATGTTTGGATTTCTAAAATTATTGTGCACTTGATTTTTCTAGAATAACTTTTGCTGCCGAATTATCCACTAACCTAGTTTATTATACATTTTTGTCATAGATTATAAATATACATAGGCCTATATTTTTTCATATTTATTGTTTATTTTATTTTTCTTTATAATGAAGTAGTCTGTATCTAGTAGATTGTGAAAGAATGATTATCAGTTCCACACACAGAGATATATAAATTCTACATTTATTTAAATGGGGGAAAAATCGTCACTGGTATAGGATCGGTATCGGCCAATACCGAACCCTAGGTATCGGAGGCGAAAAAGGTGGATCGGAGCATCCCTATACCTAACAAGGTCTACATATTAAGCAGAGAGAAAGTGAACATACTTACAGCTATATTGTCCTGTGGGTAATAAAAATAGAAAGAAAGAAAAAAAGTGTTACAACCAATGCTGCAAGAAGCACTAATCAGTTTAAGTCCAAGTCTCTAACCACCAGAGACTACTGTATGATGTAAATCCAGTCTCTACAGAGCATAATGCAGTTAAATTAAATGTATAAGCTGACGAAGGTGGGAGTGTATCTGTGTCATACCTCTGTCTTGGATGCTGGGTGATCTTTTTTCATGGCTGAACTGTTAACAGCATTCAACAACCTACACAAAAACACATCAGGTAATCTGTGACGGTAGTTATCAACTGGTTTTGCATCAAGACAACAAGTACAGATCCAACACTGACTGTACCAAGAAATGGTTTATTGTGCAAAAGTGGGAAAAAAAATCTGGTCTTACTGGTCTTCTTTAAAGTAGGTGAACCCCACAAATGGCAGCTGATTGCCAACGAAGGCTTTGGATGTGGGAAAGGTCTCTAATTCTCCTTTATCTTCCTCTATCTCATCGAAATTACTGGTGTCTATGTCACTGCTCAGCTCTGGAACCACAGGTGCCGCAGCTGGAGAGAGAAAGGACAAAAAAGGGTAACTGTGCGTTTATAACAGCTGATGTAAACAACACTGATAGTAGAGATGATAATAATAATAATAATATTGCTCATAAATGTACACTTCTACCTCACAGTCTTGCTTTGTCTTTAGTTGGGTAACACTGGAATGCGAATGTGTATTGAGCACAGTTATTATAGTTTTAGAACTTTTTCGTTTTCATTTTGTTTTTTATTTTTTTATATCAGTTTAAATATGTTTGTTTTAATGGGACATAAATAGCTGAGGTGTGCACTAATATTAATACTGAATACGAATACTAAACATATCTTCTGCAAAATGTCATAGTTTCTAAAGAGAGATCTTTTGAAAGAACACTTCTTATTCAATACCCTTGTGAAAAACTACTAAATTAAAAACAAACAAATAAATAAAAAAAGTGTTACAGAAATAATACACTTTCAAACAACATCTAAACTAACTAA